CCCCCCCCCCCCCCACAGGGAATCCACTATAGGCAAGTTGAATATTCGGCTCGCACTGTTAATTTGACTTCCAGTATTCGATTTGACAGTTATTCGACTCGACTTCCACTTTTCAAGGTCGAACATGTCGAATATTTGTCGAATCAAACTTTAAGTTGAAGCTTTGCACAGCCCTAACATTTACTGCCCAGTAGATTAGTTAGGTGTTCAGTAAATATCTCTGCCTCTACATGTGCACCCCTATTAGGCTGAAGTAAACTCATTTATTTCGGTGCAGAATAGTACTTGTAAATACTTGAGCCAGGGGAGTAGCCCCAGGCTGGCAGGCTGACCCCTGGGGCCACTGCCAGCTGGGGCTGCTCTGACCTGACTCCAGGTGCTGTGCATGAATAAACTGCAGAGGTTATTGCTCCAGAGTTAATTGCTCCCAGGCACATGTTCAAATGGCACTCCTGGGAACAATACACTCTGGAGCAATAAGCTCTGCAGCTTATTCATGCACAATAATAGCACATGTAGATGTGCCCCCTGTGTTCAAATCCCTGCTCAGGAAAATCCTGAGTAAACAGACTGACTTTCACAGCAAAGTGTAATACCTGCTAACTTGTGTCCTGGCAAGCTACATACAGAAGCAAATTCCTGACTGTTTCTAACCTGAAAATAACTCTGTTACTGTTGATTGTATTCAATTATTAAACCATATGTTCTAGTACACTGTTTCTGTAAAGAGATCTATAGCTCTATAAAGAAAGATCATTGATGAATAGTTAATCTTCTGTTCAGTAAAATGTCAGGTTTGGCTTGAAATTTGAAAGGTAAATAATCCTCCCCTAGAGGGCCTATGAAATATCCTACACAGTCTAAATTTCCTGTTATAGATAGAAATGATGTGAACAGACTGTAGCACAGCAGCCCTTAGATAAAAATTTATAGTAACAAATAAAATGTGTGCGTTTATGAACTGAGCTTCTTAGACCTCAGTTACCCTTCATATGTGACTGTTTTGGCATGGCCCCTTCAAAACCCAAGAGGGAATAGTATATCAAACCAAGTTTGTTGGCATAGTAATTGAACTGCTTATGTAGACATGGCCATCATACAATTTAACAGATTAAGCAAGGAAATAATCAAACAATGTTGACATAAAAAAAATTGCCACAGGAAAAAATATCTTTTCTTACTGCCTAATTACTGAGGGAAAGACAAGGCCTAATGCCCGTGTATGACACTGCCCTAAAAAGATCTGAGTTGCTGTGGGAGGGCGTACTTAGTGTTTCCTAAAAATGGTCTGCATTGCACTGGCCAATTAAACCATGTCTCTGGTCAGTAAAAATAGCATTGTGAACTTCCATGTTTTTGTCTCCCATTTATTTCTAGAACAAATGTAGTAATTCACAAGTGAAAATATTGTTCTGATTGGTAGTCCTGCCAATTGAACTTGAGATTTGAGAGTTACGTCCTGGTGTTCTGTAGGGGATACCTTCAGTGTCCCATGTGCAAACTCAGTAAATACTATGTAGTTGCACTAATAATGCACAGGAATAGACCCTTTCTCTTACAGCTGTGTTAGATTTGTAGGGAGAGCAAAGAGAAAACAGTAGAAATTTCTTGTTGCAAATGGATATAAACCTGAATGCATATAGTGAGCAGAGCCATAGCACAGCAAGTCATCATGCTTGCTTCCTGAGCAGAACCTTCCTTTAATATCCACCATGGTTCTGAAGGAAATGTCTTTTACTTTGCATTGGCAGGAAGAGACTTGATTTCCACACAAGGCCTCATGGAAGAAAAGAAGGGAAAATGGGGTTCCAGTAGAAACATGCATAAGACTTTACAAAACCCTGAGTGACACAGTTTGGGGAAACTTTCAAGGAGCTGTACAGAATAGCTTTCTAAAACACTGGACCACAGAGAACAAGTTGACAGCAAAAGATGATCCAAAATTCAACTGAACCTGTGTGATCTGAGGACTGTTGTATTTTCACCCACAGGGATTACCTCAGGCAGTAAATGGTTTGGGATGGTATTACCATAATTTCAAACAAAACTATGTAAAAGCAGCCCAATACTGGCTAGAAGCTGAAAAAATGGGCATTCCAGACGCATCCTATAACCTTGGTGTTCTACATTTAGCTGGGCTTTACCCTGGAGTTCCTGGCAAAAATGAAGTGAGTAAATATGTGGTGATATTTCTTGCAGAATTTGGCTTACACATCTTGGCTTTACTCTTGACTATGCTACGTTCACTTAGAACTGGATTCTGACACCCTAAGCTGTGGTGGGTAGTACTTTATTCTGTACAGTCTCAGGGAAATCAGTGGGACACCTTTTGAAAAGAGGAACTATGCAAACTTCCAGAGAACGTGTGTGTGTGTGTGTGTTTCAAACGTGTTTGTTCCTGTGATCTGTGTAGTTCAGTGGTATTCAATCTTTTGGGCCTGTGGGTGGCATGGGGCTGGTTCACAGGCTAGATCAGCCTCTGCATGCCCAGATTGGGCCCTCTGCTTTTCCCCCATCCTCCACTGCACACCCAGTCTAGAGCACAGAACCATGCTGTCCAGCCTGTAGGGCTCCCTACAGGTCTGGAAATTTGGCAGTAGGGGAGTGGTGCCACTCTGACAAATTTTTAAACTCATGGATAGCCTCACTGGCCAGATGACACAGTGCTGGGGGCTGGATCTGGCCCACAGGCCAGGGGTTGAGCACCCCGATGTAATTTCTCAAGAGTATGAAGAGTATGAATCATTTACAAGTAAAACACCATTTCTATGAAATGTGTCATACAAATAAGCAAGGGAACATTTTTTAAATAGTTGGATTTTATACCTTCTTGAATCTTGAAGTGGAGATTATGCTAGAGTAGGTCTTTGTCATTGACTTCAATGGTATTTTTCATGGGATAAAGTACAACTCAGTGCAGATTCTACACCAGGATATTTCAGCAGTTACACTATCCTCACATTGTAGCTTTGGTAAAAACAGGTCACTGGGGTGAAAAATCTCCTTCAAGCCAGGCTCTTAACTTAAATTTCCCTTTCAGAATTTGGTTTGAACTTATATCCTTCTGACTTAATATATTTGATTTTAGCCTTTCTAAGCTAGAGCCAATTGATTTCATTTTAGATTTATCAAGAAAAATTGTTGTATTCCTAACAGAAGACTAAAATATTTTGGGTATGCTTCCTGTAGGTACCCTTCTAAAAATGCTGCAAAATTTATGATGAAACCTGCCATTTAGAAGTAGGCATGCTAAGATAAAAGCTAGAAAATCTCATTCCTAATGTCCCCATGTATTTTCAAAGGAGGCTGAGTAATATGGCCTTTGAGTTCAAGAGTGTCTAGTGCCCCTACCAGTGAGCTTGCTTGCCACCCACAGCAGCTAATGCTACCCCACAAATGGTGGTCAAGTATACGTCTACTACTCAGGGTACGCAAATGCATAGTGTATAATGGACTGTCCATAAGAATACATTTTCAGTGTAACAGCAGCTCCTCACAAAAACCCTCTGTGGTTCTTCATTCACTGAAAGGCCAGGAAATGAGAGGAGCTCTTCTGTGACCTCTTTAAGGTTAACCATAACAGGTTCTGTTGGATCAAATAAAAAAGTAAATTCCAAGGTTCAGGACCCCTCAAAAAACCCCACTTTCGGCCAGATTCTACTCCACCCATTAGAGGTCTAATTAGACTTAGATGCCTAAATGTAATTCTGATCTACCCTGCTTGAGACCCTGAAGATCCATTCATGTATCAACTTTTTGTCACATATCATCATCTGACCCTTAAGGCCAAGTCACAAAAAGTGACAAAGAGGAGGATGCCGCCCACACGTACTTCATTTGTATTAGTAGTTTTTCAGGGACTGGAGCACGGGGGAATAGAATTCCATGTATGTGCCTAATCGGTGGAGTAGAATCTGGCCCCAAGACTCTTTCTGAGGTTGTTGATTAGAAGTTCCTGGAATAATTCACGGAGTGGTGTGCCGCTGTCACTTCACTCCAGTTCCCGTTCCAATATCAAATTTCTGGTGGTGAGAACTGGATACTGTCTCACTCACCTCCACAGTTCTGGCCTGTCCTGTTGGGCCTGTATCACCTCATTAAAACTAGTTTCACAAGTTTGGGAGCTATGGGCCTGTTCTTACAATGCTTTTACCATTGCATCATTTCATCCTGACCTAAGTCTGGACAACAAGAGGGTAGAAATGCTTTTTTCACTTGTAGTGAATTATTGGTTCTATTTTGGCAGTGTCAGCAAAGCCATGCTGTACACTACCAGGGGTTGGATGTGTGCTTACACATTCCTCTACCTGATATTCAATACAGTACTGCCATTTCAACTATAAAGAACTTTTCCAGCTTAAGCTATGAAGATTGTGGAAGAAAGAAACTGATTTCTTTTGTGCACGTGAGAATTGATTAAACTGACTTGCTTCATTAACCAGGTTGCCATTTTTTTTAAATGAATCATTATGGATGTAGCAATTTCCCAGAATGTTCCAAAGAGGTTACTATTTTTTCCTTGGTTTTTTTTGCAGACACGAGCTGCTCAGTACTTCTATAAAGCGGCCCACGGTGGACATATAGAAGGGACCTTACGATGCTCTCTGTATTACATCACAGGAAATATGGAAGACTTTCCTAGAGATCCTGAAAGAGCTGTAATGTAAGGGAAATTTCATTTCAGGTTGGAAAAAGATCATTTCAATTGTGGCAAAATCTTGAGCCTTCAACCTAAGAAATGTGGATTATTATAGGGTAATTTTCTTCCTTTGAAAAATTAGGTCTGCTTGATTATCTGTATAATAACTAATATCCACAATATAATTCAGCTTTGACTTTCAGTGGACTTGAGCATTGGCAATAACCTCTAGATTTTGCAGGTGTTTAATATCTCTGAAAGTCAATCTGATGCAGCTATCTTGCAAGACTTTTGTTTGATGTGAGGATTTTTTGGAATCATATATTCAGTTCACTTGTGCTCCTTTGTCAAAGGGTACAGAAATTTACAGAGTAACTTCACCATTTGGAAAAAAAAAAAAAAAGAGAGAGAGATGGAACCTGTATTTTTCATGACACTGGGGACCCTTTGCAATAACTTAATCTTTTTCTCCAAAAACAGAAAGTAATCCCTACAGAAAAAAATATCTGGAATAGACTGCTACTGGAGGTGGTTCAAGCACCCACTTTGAACACCTTCAAGACACGTTTGGATGCTTATCTTGCTGGGATCCTATGATCCCTGCTGACTTCCTGCCCCTGGGGCAGGCGACTGGACTCTGATCCTCCGGGGTACCTTCCAGCCCAAATGTCTATGAAATCTATGAAATATCCTGGATTAGTGCAGGGAATTTCCACTTATATCAGTGAGAAATCCATTAAGCAGGATAATCTCATTCAACCAAAAGTAATTCCTGTATAGCTGGATGAAATTTTATAGCATTCTTTATGAAAGAAATTAGGCAAGATGATGTAATGGCCAGTTTTAAACTTAAAAACTGTATGAATTGGTATAAATTTGGCTCCCTTCCTCTTATACCCATATAAAGATAAATTCTCAATCTGCCTCTTAATGAAAGGAATTTGATGTATACTAAACAACAAAACAAAACTCCACATTTCCATACAAAAATATGCCAAAAATAAAATATTGCATTAAGAACATTCGTAGCAGATCAAGGATTCAGTGTACAGTGGAAATAACATTGTGTGCCTTTCATGACAAGAAGGCTGTTTCTGCACTCAGTGAAGTCAGTGACAAAACTGTCATTGCCTTGAGGGGAAACAGCACTGAGCCATGGTATTTTAAAGTGTGTGTGTTCATTTATTGTCTTTAACAGCTGGGCAAAACATATTGCAGAAAAGAATGGCTACTTAGGTCATGTAATCAGAAAAGCTCTCAATGCCTATCTGGATCTGTCGTGGTAAGCTTGTTTTATATATTCTCTACACACTCATTTTACATTTTTATGAATGTGATTTGTTTATATTAACTAGGATGGCAAAATAATTTAACACCTGTTTGCCATACCCACACACACAGAGAATGAAATCATGACCCCAGTGAAGTTGATAACAATACTTCCATTAACTTTAACGGGGTCCTGGTTTTACCCATGGAGTCTCCTAGACAAGAGAATAAATATACCCCAAACCAGATCCATACAGAAAGGTTGGTTATCACTGAAGTGCAGACCAAGTATAATCACATATGTTCAGATCATCTCTATGTTATAAAAAATGTTATATATTTCAGTCTTATGTAAACTCTGCTTTAAGGGACTCTAAGTTTGGGACACTTGCAATGGGAATCCAGTACAAACCCCAGGCTGTGTGCATGCACATATACACACTTGTACATTCATTCATAGTCACAAATTTTGGTTAAAAACCAACGCTATTTGTTTCCCCCCAGCCTGCCAGCATCGTCTCAGTCTTATATGGAAAGCCAGTCAAGCTTTCTTCCGTGTCCTAGTATCCTTGAGACACTGCACTGGGCATTCATCAGCACTAGAATAATTAGGTGAAATGCAGATATAAGCTGAAATATAATGTCTAACTACCCAATAGACTGTATGTACTTGTACAAGACTATTGTTTGATGTCAAACTTGTGTGCACAAAACAATATGAACAGTTGCTATCTCTATAGATATGCTTGTAGACCAGTCGGAATTTGGACTCCATTATGCTAGGCACTGTACCAATGCATAGGAAAACAATGGGCGCATCTACACATGCTATTAATGTACCTGAATAAACTCCAGTGCAGTTCACAGTAGAGTTTATTGCTTCCAGATGCAGCATTTACACATGCACCCAGGACCACAACACATTGAGCTAGGGTGGCACAGCCCCGTCTGGCAGGGAGCCCGGGGGTCAGCCTGCCAGCCTGGAGGAGCTCCCTGGCTCAATGTGCAGTGGAGGGGTTGGCTGGGGCACAAAGGTGCTCCAGTGTGGGGCTAGCTGGAAGGCAGCCCCCCGCACTATAGCAATCTCGTGCCCCAGCCAGCCCCAACTACTGCCTGCATGTGAGTTGTTGTGTACTAAATAGTTCCGCGATAGGATAGTACTTGTGTCAGGCAGTACTATCCTACAGCAGAGTTAATTAGTTTCCTGTGGCCTAATAGCACCACATTTATACATGGTGATGCTTTACTGAGCAGCTAATTAGTCAACTCCACAGTAAGGCACACATGTAGATTTACCCAAAGTCTGTTTTGCAAAGGTCTTACAATCCCCTTCACCCTCCAAAAACTGTAATAAACAAACACAATTTAATCAAAATGGTCGTTTAAGGAAAGTCTGTTGGGAATATGTTAAAAAATACAGTAAATCTTTTTTCTTAAAGTATCAGCCCTTGACTTGCTATGAGACCTAAAGTATGTCTACACAGCAGACTGCAGTGCGTTAAATACCTGAGAAGCAGGGTGCCTCTATGCTACATTGCATTGACCTTATGCAGATCCTATGATTTCATCCCACAATAGTTTAGCTTATGTCAAAAAGCCAAATGTTGCCCTGATGGTTTTAGATGGCTTTATGACAGTAGTTGCCAACCTCTTTGTCTACAGGGCTGGATGAGCAGTACCCAGTCCCTCCATGGGCTGGGGCTGGCTAGTGGACCAATCCATGCACAGTGGGGCCCTATCTCCAGCCACGCAGGCAAAGGGGGCATGGCCTGGCTCTGAGGGGAAGAGGGGATATGGAGGAGATGTAGCCCATCTCTGGGTCATGGCCCAGCTCTGAACTAGCCATACAGGGCAGGGGGGCATGGCCCAGCCCTGTGTGAGGAAGGAGGTACGGTCTGGCTCTAACCTAGCCCAGCAAAAGGAAGGGGATGTGGCCTGGCTCTGATCTGTTGCACAGTCCTTGGGATTTTGGCAGTGGGGAGCGTAGTGGCATCAACTGCCACTGCTCTCCCACCACCAAATTTTCTGACCTGTGGGGAGCCCTGCAGGCTATATTCAAAGGCACACATGTAGATTTACCCAAAATCTATTTGGCCTGTGGGTCAGAGGTTGAGCACTCCTAATTTACGATACTCCTGCAGTTTAACTGTGACACTTTCTCCTTTCCCCAAACACAATTTGTGATTTCAAAATAAACACTTACATAGTCCATATGGATTTGTTTGGCACTTGTATTTTCAAAAGATCCAGATCGGTCTGAGCCATAGTCATTCTAGGATTCACGAAATTTTATGAAATATATTACTGAAAACAACAAATATGCTGCGTCAGCATAGTGTCAGAAAAAATCTGTGGAAGAACCAACAGCAAAAGTGTCACGTTTTGTGTCATTCCCTCTTTTACATGTGTTTTCTAGTCAACAATTTTTTGCTTGTCTAAAATTTTCCTAGGAGATTTAGGTCTGAAGGCAGTCAGAATTTAGATTGGGCTTCAGGGAAGGTTAAATACATTCTGCTAAAATGAGGCATGCTTTAAACCCTGCACTGCATTAAACCCTGACCATTTACTTTAAACAATGCCTTGCTTTGGTCTTACTAGACTAGAAAGAAGCCTCTATAAAATACACTCTCCTGGCTAAGTTGTCTTCTCAGATACACCTATGCTACCTCCCAGTGAAATCCATCCTAATGTGTGTGTATAGCTGAGGATGCAGTTAAGGTCCTAAAATATCAGCCCCTCTTCAGCTAGCAGCAGAGATCTGGTTTCTCCAATAACGTCACCTGTAAATGCTTAGAACTGAGATGCAAATAAATTGTAGTTGTGTATGGTACATAACTGATCATTGTGCTTGCAGTGATCACTGTTGATCATTCCGATGGTGGTGGAAACTTCAGTTTGCAGAAGTTTTCAGTGCTGATATTGCTACAAAGGTTAGGAAGTGGTGGCTACAAAAACCCAGTAAGGCTGCCCAGTTATGACTACAGTCTATCATACTGAGCAAAATGGTCTCTGTTTAGTTGTGCTCACCTCTGTTTTCACCTGTTGTCCCTTGTCTTACATTGTAAACTTATTGGGGCAGGTCAAACTGTCTTTTTGTTCTGTGCTTACAGTTCTAGCACAATGGTTGGTGCATGACAAGGAGTCATAATGCCACTGTAATACATATAATTAACAGTAGTAAAAGTGTTTGTTACAGCTTGCTGCTGGACCTGTTGAACCCTGACCTTAATGGAATGATTTGCTTTCCAAAAAACATTGCATATACTGAAGGTTTTGAACTAATCTATGGGCCACTGTCAATCCACAAAAAACCTGCTGGTAAAGCAGGGAAAATCCGTCGTCTGGAACACAGGAAGATTAATGTTGTAGGGAGCAGCTGTTAGGCAGTGCTGCTAACTCTTATAATTATATTAGACATTTATTTACTTGAGCTACTGCCACTGAAGTCCTAAGCATATGTGAGAATCACAGCTTTCACTGAAAGATGTCTTTAGCCTTCAGGGGTTCAGGAAAAAGCTTTTTAAAAGTGATTCCTGGATACTCTAAAACCAGAAGGCAGATAAAAAGAATCTCTGATTTTATTTTATTTTTATTTATTATGCTTAATCATTTTAAGCCTATCTCATGATTTTTGGGGGCTTGACTCATGATTTTTAAATTCTTGGGGTTTGTAATGCAATGAAAGAGAAATAAAAACAGAAGCTGTTGCCATAGTGCAGAATCACCAGCAGGTTTCTCATCACTGAAAATATCGTATTAGCTTTTATTATTGGTATTGCATGAGTACCTATGAGCCCTGGGCTTGGGGTAATGTTTAGTAAATGCAGTATCACTTACCTACTTTTTATGTATTGGAGTTGTGGAGTTGGAAGGGAAATTTCTTTATATATTATTTCTAAGAGGTTATTACTTTTTTAAATGCTAGTTGGAACTGGATGCACTGCTTCACTTGATGGTATATCTCAACCTTAAGCACTAAACAATTTCATACTTTGAAAGAGCAGAAGTTCACAGGAAGCTGATTCTACTTCAGAGCAGAAAAGAAGACGCTGAAACCACTCTGGACCAAATTGCGATGTGTTATATTGAATGCGGCCAGTAGATGTAGCTGTTGCATGTATTAACTAGTCCTGACTTTCCAACCCTTGCTCACAAATTCTGCTTTTAAAATGGATGTCATTTTATTTAGAGGTTGTAACTAGAACTAAAATTATTGTGATTTCAGTTTGTTTTTTCTATTTCTGTCATAAAATTTAGGCATGAAGCTCTGTTATATTATGTTTTAGCAGCCGAGTCTGGTTTTGAAGTGTCGCAGACAAATTTAGCACATATCTGTGAAGAGAGACCAGTAAGTAAATACACAATACAATGACCCTTTAAAACACTGATAGTAGTAACCCATGAAAATATAAATGGATCAACTCATTTTTCTTTTCAGGAACTAGCAAGAAAATACTTAGCGACTGATTGTGTTTGGAGATACTATAATTTCTCTGTTTTTCAGGTCAATGCTCCCTCATTTGGTACGTATACTAAATCTTTTTGTTAAATCAGATTGTAATAGGTATCTAGTTTTTATATTCGGTAACAAAGAGAAGGTGTTACCAAAGAGGCTATTTGGCTGATTTCTAGCTTGCAGTTCTGGAGGGGGGGCCACTTTTAGGGGGGCTCAGTGTGAGTCTGCTTTAATGTAAATAGTTGCTGTAAATACTTTCATAAGTAGGAGAGCTATATGCCATTTTGACCCCAGGAGGAAATGGCAGTCTGGGTCTGGCAGCAGGCCAGAGCTTGTTCTCCGATCAGTTCCCCATAACATTATGCTTCATTTGAAAAGGTGAGTGTCAGTCCTTGGGTTAACAGTATACTTTCGTAACTGTTGCAGAGTGTGGCTGACTGCTTGGGAGAGAGAAAGAGTGTTGTTCTGAGAGAGCTGGGAGAGAAAGGGCAGAGGGAGTAGGAAGACAGAGTAGAGAGAAAGGAACGGTCCCTGGGGTGACAGTGTGGAGTCTGAGGAAGGACAGAGGGACCTGCAGTGACACAATAAGGACTGCTCATTTGGAAACAAGCAGTCAGTCGACTGTGCTGTTTGGGAAGCCGACAATCTCGTGTTCTTCTCTGAAGAAGAAAACATTTCCCCTTCTGGGAGCTGACCAAAAAGAACGAGCTCTAT